CGATTTAAAAAAAAAGAAGATAAAAAAATTATAACGAAGCGCAACTCGGACACGATCCTCGCGCCTTTGTTCCGCGGGATCGACGAACCGTTCCCCCCGGTGGGAGCATGAATTTCGATTCGGATTGATTCGCGAAAAGTCGCGCATCCGGAAATTTGTTACGATTACGGTAAAAATAAAGAAAAAAGAAAAGAAACGGAAAACGTTGTTACGGCGTTGAGATGAAAAGCGATGCAACAGCGAGGATCGATCCGAGTGTAACTTCGACGTGGCGGCAGCAACTCGAGTTTAGACGAATCCTTGTTGAATATACTGTTGAATCATGTTGATCGCGGAGTTGATTGCGAAGCGGTTTCACGTGTTACGATAGTGTTAACACCGTTCGGAGGACGTCGTGCCAACTCACGGGGTTAATCGTGTGTAGCCAGGGGTCAACGATCATTGCCAACTCGCCACGAACGATAGCGATCGGTTAATAATATCGTAAAACTTGTAACGCGACTATCGTGATTGTCCAAGAATTGTTTTTTTCTTATTTTTTCGTTTTTGTTTTTTTGTTATCAACGATCAACGTCCACCCACTTCCGCGTGGACCACGACGGACAAGCATTTTTACGTGCGGAAATCGTTGATACTGTTGTCGAGCAAATCAGTATTCTTTCGAACTCGGACATCCCGTAGAATTGTACGCCGGTCTATGATTTTTACGTCACTTCCTTGATTATAATAGAAGTCAAATGTTTTCGCAAGTATCAGTCGATTTTTAAAGATGTATCAATGGATTAATAAATCGTGCATGGCATAAACATTGCTGTTGTTGTTCCTGTGTATTCTCTCTCGCCTGTCCCTTATCTGCTGCTGGTTATCGAAAGGTAAGGTAAAGAGCAATTCGTTCAATGGAATAGAAACTTTATCTCTGCTTGCTCGCGGTTCATTCATTTATTTATTACTTTGACATAGGCGCCGTTGAAAAATTTTCAAGCACTCTGCGATAAGGGCACTCGTTCGATTAAACATACGATTGACAAGAAAAAACGATGCTCGAGTGTGATTTCAAGAAAAATTGGAGTAAAGGAACTTATTATTATTATATTAATTATTAATTATTATTATTATTATATTTAATATTAATATATTTAATATTATATATTTTTAATATTATTATTATTATATTATTATTATATTATTATTATTATTATTATTATTATTATTATTATATTATNTATTATTATTATATTTAATATTAATATATTTAATATTATATATTTTTAATATTATTATTATTATATTATTATTATATTATTATTATTATTATTATTATTATTATTATTATATTATTATATTATTATATTATTATTATTATTTTTCTTTTTTGATAATTCAATCTTTTGAATTACATTTTATAAAATATACGAGTTACAGTTGTGGAGTTACAAAAAAATCCGTATAAATTGTAATAAATTTTGTTCGCAGAAATATATTCATGCATCGTAAATATTATTCTTAGGAATGTAAATATTTATTTTGGTTTATCTGTGACGAATATCGCGGGAATTCGCGTTTTTTAGAAACATCGAACGGAACGGAAGGTTGTTCGATCGAGATTATACGAATTCCATGACTGTTTAAAGATACTTTTGTAAGCAACTGCGGGTTATTTTTGACCGAAGAGATAGTTTCGTGGAGGAGGTCAATTGAACGTTTGAAATCATTGGGAGTCCGGCGGATTCAATTTATTGGACTGGAATCAACGAAGCTAGATAAATCCGTCGAAAGAATGGTCCGCGTAGAAGAGAGCACTGTGGAGAATACGGCAGGGGTTGAAAACGATTATTAAATTAGTTTCGGTTCTTGAAACGGTTATGAAGAACCGAAATGTTCTTATACAGTTACGGGGTGTATCGGTTCTGACTTACATCGGTTTCAATTCTTCGGAATCGTTGTTATATCGGTCCTATAGTTGTTATATTTCGGTTCTAAATTTCGGTCGTGGATTTCTAATTCTATACTTTATAGAATTCTAATTCTACTCTAAATTTGTATTTCCTTTGGGAATTATACAAGTATTCTGAACTGTTGGGGAATAAGTTAGTAGCGTTTTTATTTGAAGGCGATTTTCTTTGTTGTTTTCGTTAAGCTCGTGAGGCACCCAGGCTCCCAATTTTTCGGCAAATCCCATTGAACGAAGATGATTGAGAATCGTTTTATGATCGCAGTTCATTTTTTCAGCCAATTCACGACTTGTTCGGTGACCGTCTTCCTTCAAAAGTGCTTCGAGACGCTTTTCGCCATTTTTGAACTTCGCAAACCATTTCCGTGCTGTAGACTCGCCTATGACACCTTCTCCGTATACGTTGCAAATGTCCCGGGCTGCTTCGGCAGCTTTTTGGCCTCGATGAAAAGCGAAGAAGAGAAGGTGTCGAAAATGTTGCTTTTTACCTCCTGGATATTTCATTTCTAAGCCTCGAAAGTAATAAAAAATTAAATTACTCAAAAAGTCGATTAGCACAGTTTTGTAGAGCAGAAAGAGCTCTATCGAATGAGTATTATACACTTTGTCAAACAGCAAAAGATCGTTGTAAAATAAAAGAAAATATAAAAACGCTACGAACTTATTCCTCAACCTAATACTTTGTATTATAGACAAGCTGAGACTATGGCCAATGTACTGTTTCTTCTACCACACAGAAAAAGGGTGTACAGTCTCTTACACTACAATGAATTTTGCTAATAATAATAATAATAATACCAATAACCGCAATCCAGAACCGAAAAATATCAGTTGCAGTAAATTCTCCCAAATTGACCCACAGTTTCTGCACAAAAATGGACAATTTGGGAAGGGGAGACGCGATTATTCGAGCCTCGTACAGTCTCTTACACTACAATGAATTTTGCCAATAATAATAATAATACCAATAACCGCAATCCAGAACCGAAAAATAACAGTTGCAGTAAATTCTCCCAAATTGACCCACAGTTTCTGCACAAAAATGGACAATTTGGGAAGGGGAGACGCGATTATTCGAGCCTCGCGGCTCGTTGTTATAGTTATTGACGAATGGCGACTGTGAAAACGAGCCGCGAGGCTTTTCCCAAATTGTCCATATTTGTTTACAAGGACAATTTGGGAGAGTTTACTGTATAGAACCGAAACCGACATTAAATCAGAATCGATATACACCTTCATAACTGTTATGAAACTTTTCCGGTCCTCCATAACCGTTTCAGTCGGAACCGATGTATAACAGGTTTTGAAACAGTTATTTTCGGAACCTTTTCAATGCCTGGAATACGGTATGCAAGAAATTGATCGGGGAGGAACAAAGAGTTTAAATTTAACTGTCGAACACGTTATCGCTTAATCTGTCGTTCTATCAACATTCATCCTACTATCGCTTATCTGATTGGTAAAAAAAGAAAAGAAAAAAGTTAACAGTTCGTCACGTGCTTGGACTCGAGTCAAAGAATCGGCGAGCAACATTTCCTATCGGGTTTAAAGTATTCAGCCATTGCAGTGCCAGATATTCGTGATAATGAAACGTATCTACTATTTGCGTACAGATAAAAAAATGTAACCACGATTGACCAGATACTTGTGCCCACTATCGGAGAACACAAATCGATAGTATCATTGAAAACCAACAGAAGATACTCCGGAGTGGAATTCATGGATATGTGTATGTATTTAGAAAAGATCGATAATAACCAAAATATTTCGTCGCGTAAATCTTCGACATTTGCGTGCGAACGATTCGCACGATTTCGCGCTTTCGTATTGTCGGAAATTCAAATTCGAACAATTCGAGCAACGCTATGTCCTCGAGATCGCCTTGAACTCGCGAAGATAACAATTATCTCATGGTCATTGCAAAATTCTACGATCGAAAAAAAACTACGACTTCTTAACTGGAAACAAATTTTCGTAGCGGTTTTTTGGAAAATCGAAGATCCACGAAAATTGTTTTGATAAATGAGCCGTTTATTTTAAAAGTGGCATAAGTCACCTTTTTTTTTTTAAATGAAAAGATACCGTTCAATTGTAATTAGTGTTACCATTAACTCGATTTTTTTGAAAAAGTGATTTATGCCACTTTCAAAATAAACAGCTCAAATATATGTAAGGTAAGTATGCGACACTGTTTATTTAAATGACAGTTATTACAACGGAAAGGCGATCAAATTAATTTTTACCGAATAAAAATCTCTCGAACATTTATTATTGTATTTTCAGATTGCACAAACACCTCCGCGTCTGTCTGATCAATTAAAAACATTTATTTTATTCCCTTTCTTAAACAGTTCTTGCGAGGACTATTGTTATTAATTCCCTATTATTAATTCCCTCTGGATGCAACATTAAGGAGAGATACAATCTTCGCTATTTAAACAGCTCGATGGTCCCAGACACGATCGGAATACAAATTACATAACAAGCATTCGGCATAATTCGAGGAGCGAATCGCGCGCGTACGACAGAATCCGTACACGGGATACATAAGCAGTTTCGAAGATATGAATTTACGTGCGACTAATCAGACTGGTCGCGTAGCCGTCCTGCCGAACGCTGATCCAATTTGAAATGCCCTCCAATACGCGGCGGCCGTTGCCCGATTGGCGGTTACCGGTGCAGGTTCGAAAGAGAAGGGAATGCGCAGAAGCACGTGGATTTGTTTAGACGACTGTCAAGCCCCTTTCGTAGCGCATTTACAAAGTCCGTGGGGTGCTTCCGGTAAGCCCCGTAGCTGGCGGCGGCGCTTTCCCGACAAACGATACCGGGGGCCAACGGGGGCGACAAGATCCACTGTCTACCCAACCCCGCTCCTCTCCCTCAATCCCTCCTCCGGCCGATTCCTGCCCCTCCCACCAGCCCTTCTGTACCACACGGCATTACACCTCCGATGCGGAGACAGAGACAGAGACAAAGTCTGGGACAGGGGCAGGGGAGGAGTGACGACGGCGACGATGCCCGGCGAAACGAGCGATGGAGGAGGGGAAGACATCAACGGCGGACAAGGCCGCCATATTGAATCACTCTCGTTAATTTTTGCGCAGAGGCGGCGTGAATTTTTTCTCCTTGCGCGGAAGGTAGCGGCTCAAGGTTGTGTCTGGGTCTCCGGGATCGTGACGATCGTTTCGCGGTTACCGCTGCCACGCGTCACCCCGGCGCGATCACACACAGTGTTTGTTGTTCCCTGGTGTATTGGACGGGTTGTGTGTCCGTTTGTCATTTTCCCCAGCGAAAAACAAGAAGCGTAAATGGTAAACGCGATGAACGGATACAAGGCGCGGGAATGGTTCGCGGAAACATGCGGAAATCGTGGCTACAGAATCGCCAGCCGGTGAAGTGTGCTCGCGATAGGGAGGGACACTCGAGGGAAGCGAAGTGTACGCGTACACTGACTGCGGTATGTCGTGTGCGCCATGTCATTGTACGTAAGCGATAGTATAGAGTGTAATATATATCGTGGAGTTGAGTGAAGTGGAGTGGAAAGCGACCGGCTACCTTGCCTGCCTAACTGTCTGCCTAACTGCGTGTCTTTGCCCGCCTGCCTGCCTGCCTGCCCGATCGACTACCCGACTTCTACCACCCATCTGCCCGTTATATTCGTCGACCGCCTTTGTGCAATTGATTCGTATGCCCGAACGGTTTACACGAATTCGGACCAACCTTTTTCATTCACCGACCGCTCGACGGCTGGCTCAGGTACGTGTATATACTTTCTTCTCGCGAACGCGGCTGGCAGACGTTGTGCCGTGTGGGGGTCAAAACACTCCGGTCTCTCTCGGCGTTCGTTCCAGGGAACGCGGGATTATCAATGTAGTAGGAAATACGTTGTGCACGCGGAAACATAAAGAGTCGCGTGTCGCTGTCGCGCGAGCTGGCGTCGCACGTCACCAGGCGAGCCGAGCCGAGGCGAACGTGTTCGCGTGTGCTCACCCGAGACACTCTCGGAGTCACAATATTTTGAATTTCTCGACCGATTAATTGCAACGGAACGGTCTCGATTCTTTTAGCCGTCGGCCCACGTCGAACGTTTCATTCGCGGTGCTTTCCGTTCCCCGTCGTCGTTGCTTCGCTATTTTTTTCCTTGGTACACGAGAAAATGATGAAAGAGACGAGAAGCCCGAATTGATACGCGCGAATCGATGTTACGCGACTTCGGCGAGTTCGTTACTTTTTCTCTCTCTCTCTCTCTCTCTCTCTCTCTCTCTCTCTCTCTCCCGCGGTCTTTTTCCTCGCGCGAAGATAAAACGTTCTTTGCCGAAGTTTTGTAACACGACCGATGGAACACATTCTTTTTCTTTTTTTTTTCGCATCGAAGAATTTGGTTCAAACTATTTACTCGGCGAGATAAGATTAGCTCGGCGTGTGGTTGTAACGGTCACGTACGTTTATTAGGTTAGGAAGAAATTGCAAGATTACCGTAGGTCGCTTTAGGGTTCACTTACCGGTTTGGGGACTTTCGGCTGTTTGTGTGCTTACCGTGTAATTTCATGCTGACTCGATGAACGAGTGTGGATATCGGATTCTAGAGGAATTCTATTTGAAATCAATCTTTCTTGTCGCACGTATATGCACATGCTATTTACGATAGTTCTTTTTTTTTTTGAAGAGAAACGTATAATTAAATACGTACATACTATATAAAGAAACGCTGCTTTGTGCACGATAAGAACGTAAGCGCCGTTGAACGTAACGAAACGAGCGTTGCTTATGTTTATTCATTCGTTCCTCCGCGGAATTGCGAATTAAAGTAACGAAACTGCTATGAAAAAGTCTGTGACATCAATTCGAGAGTTTAGAGACCCTACTCTGTCACGTGATCTGGAAAGTGTGCGGCGGGAGATCCGAGAGAAACTCCGTGAACTAGTTAATTCTTTCGCGGGAGATCGTAATAAGTAGATGCAGCAGAAAAAAAACAACTCGAAACTCTCGTTACAAGACCGCTGTCGCGTTACACATCGTATTCGTCGTATTAATACGCTATGAACTCTTTTTTCCGAAGGAAGATGCACGGAGTACATCGACGCTCATAATTACCGTCCACCCCACTCCGACCAGCTCCCGGTTCATAACATATGAGTAACAAGAGTGGGGTGGACGGCTATTACGACCGTCGTCGGTCGTACCTCGGGTCTACCGTTTCGAAAAGCCTGTGTTGTAACACGTTATCGCTCCGTTTTCCTTATCTGTTACTTTGTATATCTAAAGGGTGTAATGAAGCCATTACTTAGCAGAGTCGATGTTCAAGTATGCTCTGGGCATATGTGCCCGGTGCACATCGGCACTGTTCCCGATCACGAGAAAAAGAGAGCGACAAATAGTGTCGTATTACCTAGAGGTCGCGCTCGGTTTCCCCGATACAATAGTAATTACGAGATGCGTGGACGATATCAAATACGTTGCGAAAACATTGTAACTCCTTGGTCCCTGCGGCCGGGGATGCCGGCAGTGGGGACTCCGTCGAAAAATCGATTTCCCGTAGGGCATAAGGGCGCGGGAGGAGCGAGGGCAAGGGAGAAGTTAACGGAGACGAAATTCGGGAAAATCCGCAGAGAGAGAATGAGAGAAAGAGAAAGAGAAACACGGTCGGCGGCGGGCGGGAGGGAGAAAGAGAGAGAGAGAGAGAGAGAGATTGGTTTCTAGCCCGTTCCCGATGCCGCTCGTGTGGGTGAGTGGCTGACGGTTTGTGGTAGGGGGTAGACCGACGACGGGGTGAGGGGAGAAATAATTAATGTGCGACCGTACCTCTCCCCTCGCGGTACAGGGTACCCTCCCTCCCCCTCCGGCCTCCCCCTCCCCTGCAACAGTCTTGTACCGCTACGCTTAGCTGCCATTGTGCCGAGACGCCACTTCCGAAGCATCAAATTCAATTCTTCGATTTCGTGCCGCCACTTCTTCGCGGAAAATCTCAGCCGCGATAGAGGAAGACGAAAACGGGCACGCGGTGCGGTTTGTCCGTGGTGCCGGCGGGCCAATAAAGCGCGCCAATATCCTCGCGCGCGATCTTGGGAACACTGTGTATTCTTCCTGCTGAGAACGTCTTTCGAATCGCGCGGAGGTTAGGTTAGGACATTGCTTCCGTGGATATCGGCCGATCGCCCGCCTCGCGGAGCCAGCATACCGAATCATTTTTATCGCGTGTCGTAGTACTCTCGCGGCTCTCGATCGCGTTCTCGCCGGCGGTGTGTCTAGCCGTGGTTCTGTGTTGTGATCGTGGCGTTTGCGGTCAGGACGTTTGCTCGTTTGCTCCACGAGAGAAACGGAGAGAGAGAAAAAGATAGATAGAGGTGCAAGCGAGAGAGCGAAAGAGAAAGAGAGATAGCGAAAAAAGAGGGAACTACGATGCCCCGGTGCATGTGAACCACGGGATGATTGGACGGAGATTTTGGTAACCCAGTTATTTTTATTCCGGTGTATCTTTTCTATCGCTTTCGAATTACGGTGTTGCGAAACGTCGCACATCTCTGCCGTTGGCTTCTTTGTAGTGTTTTTTTATTCTCTTTTCGTCTCGCCGCTTCCCCTCTGGCGAACGTACCCACCGCATCGTTATTATTATTATTATTGAAATCAATCCAATCGAACCGCACCAGACGAATCGTGGTTATTAATAAATACTTGTGTTTTTTTGTAGAGTCGCCGCGTTTGAGAGAATGGAAGCCATGGATTTGGACGGGGATGCAGTGGTGGACCTGAGTGTTAGGTAAGTTCAGAGAGAATTCGGTTTTTTCAAGCTGTTACTGTCTAACTTAAAGATTGGTTTTCTACAATGTTGAATGGAAACAGGCAGTTCGGTAGCTTGTCAATTTGCAACTGCCATTGTTTACATCGGTCTGATTATGAAATGGGGCTATTGTTACATGTTATGATTATCACTAATGAAGGCTCATAATGCGTTACACTACCCTATGATAATTTAGCTTTTAGAATGCTGACCTCTTATCAGCAATAACAAATGGTAGTTGTTCGACATAGATACGGATTATTCTCTTTGTATTAATAGCTTTGATTTACATAGCATTATGTTTAAGTATACTAGTTCTGGGAGTAATATTTTCTGCCATGTATTGTATGTATTTCAGTAGCAGTGGCAGAAGGAATTCTCCATCGATTGCTGTTAATTCTGATGTAGGAGTTCCATTAGATTTAGGTCTTCATTTTTCTTCGAACCCTAACCTGGATAACAGTATGCCGGAAGCACGTAATATCCAAAATGCAGCAAGGGGAATTCTGGCTCCAAAATCTGCAGATGATAGGAAAACGCGTCGTAACCTTAGACCTAGAAGTGAAATAAGTTATGCAGAGACACCGGATGAACGTAGAATAAATGGTTACGTAAATGGAAATGCGGATAGCGATGAAGGTTAATTCAGAAATAATATACTTATTTATAATCCTTATAGTCTTTCGAAGCATTGGAATAAATATTGTTAAAATATTCATTTACCAGGTGGTGATATGCCTCCTCTGCCTCCAATCAAAGAACTATCGTCGGATGAGCTGGCTGAACGTGAAAGAACACTTAGGAAATTAAGGGAGGAACTTAGATCTGAGGAAATGAAGTTGGTGTTACTGAAAAAACTACGGCAATCGCAGCAACTGAAAGAAAACATTGCTGCCGTACCAAAAGTACCCAGCAAGTTACCACCACCAGTTACAGTACAACAAGCTCCCCTTAGGTAAACAAATTTTGTTTTTAAGCACACGTTCAGCGAGATACCACTAGTAAAACAAGATTGTATTTTCTAGTCATAGAACTGGGAAAGCACCTCCACCTCTACTTAGGGGACAACCTGCACCTAGTAGGAGTAGTATACATGTTCCTCCACCTGGAATGTTATTACCGCCTACAGCAGCCCGAAGTTCTACTTCCAGTACTGGAATACCACCAAACATGATCATACCACAACCGCCACATCCTAGGAGCAGGCCACCTAGTGCAACACCAAATGTATCGAATTATCATGCACCAGCAGACCGAACTGAGAGATCCACAAAAGATCCAACTCCCACTCCGGCACATCAAGTAAGTAAGGTATAACATGACAGATATTTTTAATACATATTTCTATAATTATAGTGATGATAGTTTTATCTATTATATTTTGAAAATATTTACACTATTTGTTCATTTGTAAATTATGTAAATAACCGTAATTGTGTTTTTGTAAACACAAAGCTGCTTGTTGGATCTCAAGAAAATAAAACCACCGCATCCTTAAGCACACCTGTGATTTCAGAACAGGTATATCCACTAGTCAAAATATATATTAAGTCTTTTGCCGCACTAACTATGGATTCAATTTTATACCAATTTTCTTGCCCCCCTAATAATCATATAATTTCTTCGGCTATGTTTAACCCTCTTGTTCTGTCACCTTCTTCTTCTTCCTGTCACTTTTTATGTTTATTATAATTTTAGATGCTTTATTTTATACAGAATTTAAAAGCAAAATTACACTTGTGTACATGCATCTAATATACGTTCTTTGAAACAGGAAAGACAGCCAAGGGATGATAATCAGACGCCTGCACAACGTCAAGCGGCTGCTAAACTGGCTTTGAGGAAACAACTCGAGAAGACGTTGTTACAAATACCGCCTCCTAAACCACCTCCACCGGAGATGCATTTTGTACCTAATCCCTCGAATACAGAGTTCATTTATCTGGTTGGTCTGGAACATGTAGTCGATTTTATTACTAAAGAGCCTGCTATTCCGCCACCACCAGAGCCATTCGAGTGTACGCAATGCAAAACGGACTTCACGCCTGTGTGGAAGTGGGAGAAGCCGATCACTGGTAACAAGAAGGAAGGTCCAAGAGGACAGCACGCAACTTTCCAGAGACCTCCTGCAGGTCGTGATCCTAGAGTTATATGCGAACATTGTGTAACGACCAATGTTAAGAAAGCTCTGAAAGCTGAGCATACTAATCGGTGAGTACAATAATTAAGAGATAAAACCTGGTAAATCTTTTTGCTTGAGTTTCTCGTAATCTATATGAAAATGTGTGCAGGTTAAAGACAGCGTTTGTAAAAGCGCTGCAACAGGAACAGGAGATAGAACAAAGGTTGGCACAGGCAGCGTGTCCAAGTCCGGATCCACCAGCTCCAAAACCAGTTCCTAAAGCAGCTACTCCTACAAGAAGAGTAGCAACGCCACCAGCCCCTCCACCACAGGTACCTCCAGCGCCTACGTTAGCACCTACTCCCCCTGCACCCAAGCTGCAAGAGCATCCCCTGGTTAAATTGGCTGAAAGCGGGAAATTCAGCCCGCACCATGCTGCTGCTGCAGCCGCTTTGCAGCAACAGTTGCTCAGAGGTAATTTTTCAGACATATTAGGCGCTCATAGTAAAAAGATGTAAGATAAATTGTTTGCAACGTTCTTTGTACAGAGTTGGCGAAGAATCCTGTACCAGGTCTGCCACCTCATCAACCTCTTCCTGCTCATATGATGCCACCGTTTACCTCGATATTGTATCCTTATCAGCTGGCAATGGCGCAGGCCAGTGGCAAGGGTCTCGCAGAGTTACAACGACAAGCGGCAGATCTGCAACGCCAATACTTGCTCGATATGATTCCGTCGCAAGCGTCTCAAGCACAAGGCAATCAGGCCCCGCCACGGGCCCACCCACACAATTGGAAGACGTAACCAGACGCATTTAAAGATCAGACAGTAATTGCGAATAAATGAAACTGCAGAGCTGTGTTAGAGAATATTGAGGAGCAAGATTATAAATCTTGTATTCTTTTTCGACGACATCGTATTAAAGGGATCTAACGGAGTGTGACGATCGCATTTTCATGCACTTAGGATAATATACCAATCGCTGGATCGGTATCTTTATTACAAAGTGAAGCTCAAACCGATTTAATGGACGACAAATACTTCTTATATTATTGTGAACAAAAGGAGAAACTAACGACCATCATTTTGTGAATATTGCATTGACGTGTGAGTGTGAGTTTATTGTTATTCGAAAGGTTCGAGGTTTTAATTGCCGCCGAAACAGAAAAATGAGTCGAAGAACTTTTAGTTGTTACCGAGCAAGATCACCATAAAAGAAAAAGAATTATGGGAAGCAAATTCTTTTACGATTCTCGAAGATCGATAGATGAAAAATGAAACACGTTAAAACGACCAATTGATTTTTCAAAGAGCAATATCTGTTCCTTTTCTTATTATCTTGTGTTGGTTATCTGCGATACCGAAAAGAAAAGGAGAAAACTATATAGGTGAATATGTCAATCAATCAGATTCGAGTAAGTGCATAATAACTTGGACGCACACATGAATGAATATAATTGCTTCAATTACTACATTATATATATATATATATATATATAAATATATATAAAGAACCAAATGGACATTTGTATGGCACTAAGGACAGTAGTAAGTGTTAACGTGATTAATACGAATTGGTTGATCTAATGATAGTAGTGATAATCGAGGAGCGGGAAACATGTGGAGAAGTGAAACAAAATGAAGTTTCAAACAAAGTAAAAGAAATAGAAGGGTGGAATCTTTTTTAAGACCCTTATGATTAAGCCGACCTTAGTTGGTGGTTCGAATCATTTTTTCCAACCATCGGCGGTACCTGTACTCTGTGTATATCTCTTTATTTTCTTCAAACTGTGAGTATTTTTAAGGCGATTATAAAATGTGAAAGCGAGAGAGGGAGAGAAAGTAAGAGAGAGAGAGAGAGAGAGTACGAGTGAGAGTGGGAGAGAGAAAGAGTAATAGCTACGACAAAATTGATCTTTGTAAGAAATTGTGTGTGTTAGTGATAGTCAGCAAAAATGAATGTGGGAGTGATAGTAATTTTTCTCTTTTTTTTTCTTCGTCGAGATACAAAATAGAGAACGAGCATTCAGCATGTTTTTAAATTAGAGTGACACGAGTGTCATTCGCGCACAAATTGTTGTTAGAGAAATTCGTAATTAATAATAATGGTAAGACTTTGGGTCATATTGATGCAGGATGTGTTACAACATGGAAACGAAACGAAAGGTTCAAATATCTCTCTCTCAATATATATATATTACATTAAAAAAAAAAATATATATATATATATACAAGCAAACGAACGAAGAAAAAAAGAAACACTATGGATATAATAAATTAATGGATAGCGCGATTGATTTCATGTGTCACGTCGATGTAAAAGTATTTAAAGCGAAAAAAAAAGAAATCTTAACTGGACGTATGTATCCAAAAAGTTTTACCGAACCGCTTCTAAGTGGCAAGATGGCCGAATTTTTACGAAAAAAAAATCCTCTCTAACCAAAAAGATAAAAAGGAAAAAAAAAGATAAGAAAGAAAAATTTGCACTTGAAAGAGTTACAAATCTCCGGCACACGATCCCAGTAACATATTTATCACATACACACACCACTCTCCACCACTAATAATCCGATGATTTTACATTGATTCCGGCTAACTGATCTTGGTCCACAACAATCTTTCCGAATCACTAAATAATATAGTTAACTGTAGTCTTGATATTTCTCTCGGTATATGATACAAGTTAATAAACTAAAAATAGCATAATCATCTCTCTTTGTACTACGTGATAGATTTTCAACTCAATACTTGATATAAACGAAATGTACACCGTAAACGTAAACGTCTTACGATCGCATAATAGATCAAGATCTGTGTTTTTTGTGTAAGAGGGAAAAATGGAAATCGAAGTAATATCATTGTCTACACGTTTATCATCGTTGCCAGGGCGCTACCGCTGTAATTATCCTCCCGTCGTATTCAAGAGAAACTGACAAGAAGAAGAAGAAAAAAAAGAACCCGATTATTTTATTAATTAATTTATTTGCGTGGACGCACGAGGACGAGCGGGGAGAACCGCGCTTTTGTGCCGAACAGTACAATTACTTTCGAGCCTATACAAAATTATATCTTTGTTCACTCACTCGTGTTCTAGTTTCTTATCGAAAAATTTATTTTCTACGATCGATGACCAAGAACATTTATTATTTTGTACAGAGTGCTTCGACATCGACAAAATTCGCTATTTTAAAGAAAGAAGAAAGCGTTGATAAGGAAACAAGTTTGAGCAATGAACATCTTTATTTTTAGAAGTGCTTTTAGAATTATGTATATTTTTAAGCCTTTTTTTTTTTCTTTTAAACGTAACACTTCACAAAGAGTCATGGTAACGCGAGGTTACGAAACTGATGACCGCTTTCCGAAGGAGCTGCGAGAGCTTATTATTGGCTTCGATGTTCGTTACTCTCCGTGAGGTTGATTATTAACGTTTCTTATAGTCTAATATTGTATACTCATTATCCGGCAAGGTTGACCTCGACGTCACCTTCGGCAAAGGATAAAAAGGAAGTTTGTTTCTTTTAATTTTGTTCAGTGCGTATAGACATTGCTACTTTTTTGAACAAGTCGATTGCGTGTGGTACTGCATCTAGCAATACATACATACGTTATATACCAGGGTGAAATCATGGAAAAACGAAACACCGAGATATCTCTTACCGGCATCGAAGACTACTTTACGGACATGCTATAATTAAATATAGCTCCGTATTATTTTCTTTTAAACAAGGAATCATCTCGCAGGAAGTTGTTGGATCACTCGCGATATCATTTCTTGTTTTAAGATTAGGGAATTTGCCATTGCCGTTGTATGATTTATCGAAAATTCGTCGGTTGTTTCATCGGTCCATTTCGCCCAGTATTTTAACACGTTCAAATCGATGCATATCCAGACGATGCTATGCGACACGCCTAATTGTTTTCGCGTTCGTCGAACGGTCTCCCTCGCCTCGTGACGTAAACGGCGTTCATCGAAGTGACAAGTTGGTGCACCACCCGTGCACCACCCTCACCGACTGCCGAATGAATATTTCGCCTAAGTTCTTTTCGTGTGACCCGTTCACGACGTCGGCGAATCGTCGATTCTGTTCTCGCGCGCGCACGATCTCTCGTGACGGTTCGAAACTGCATTTTCTCGTGGACGAAACGGAAACCTTCTAAAAAAAAGAACAAGAGAAAAAGAAAAAACAAACGAAATAACGATAACGAAAATAATAGCAACCGGAAATAGAAAACTGAACAGGTGAACACAAATAAGTTTCTTCCTATCTTCCTTTCTAGTCTTGTCTTTCACCTCTGCGTGGTGCTATTTAAGAGCTAAAGCACTTTTTGAGTGCGAACGTAATTTTATATTCTAAAAATAGAGAGAGAGAGAGAGAGAAAGAGTGAGAGAGAGAGAACGAGATAAACGTACGAAAGGAAACAGTGTTTTTTCGCTAAACGAGAGGAGAGAGAAACTTTTTGGGGAAATTTTTCGCGCGGGGCGGTAGTGTGTGTGGAAGAAGAGAAGAAAACAAAAGATAAGAAGGGGTGATTATAATGGGGATCGAAGTTTGAAGACACGATAGTTAAAGCAATACAGAACTTCGAACATGGCGGATTAGTATTCTTAAGGTACTTGGGAAGCTGTGTGAACGAACCACGTGGTCGTCCGATATATCGTGGGGGGACACGAGATAAGAATGAGAAACGAAAAGGGGGAAAAAAAAGAAAAAGAAAAATGAAAAGAAACGAATTATAAATGAAGAAAATACGCACGCAATATTGTCCGCAGGAAAGGGGAACGTGTTTTATAGGCGTCGTGGAAATAATTGAACGTCCAAGAAATTCTTACCGTTGTATCTTAAGTCTGACTACCTGACCGAGAATCTCTCTGCCCCACAATTTATAGGATTAGTAGTTAAACAAACAAAAAAAAAACGAAAAAGTACAGTTTACCGAATACTCTGGAGACTACACGAATAAAGCTTATCAATGATTGTATCTCGAGTGATTGTTTATTGTCGTTATTTGTATTCCGAAGTCAACAGTCGGTGGCGAGACGCTGTCGAACAAGCGGAACACCTTTTTTTTTCTCTCTCTTGAGAGAAAGAGAGACAGAGAGAGAGAGAAAGAGGACGCAACGTGACAGATCGGCGAACGCTAATGCGAGAACTATGTTTATAATGCTCGATCGTAGGATCGTCGACGAACATTGTAAATTATTGGAATCGGAGATGCGTGTGTTTCAAAAGCGGCTGCCGGTTGTACAGTTCGTTTAGAAAATTTCCCTTAGGTAATCCGATAAAATAATAAACGGTGTGAGCGGGGTAAGTCTAGGTGTCTGCGACTGTTAGCCTGTAGGAGGTATTCATTTTTTACTAATTTTGTAAAGCTGCCTGAGAACGCTCAAGAATTCGTGACTACAAAGTCGATGACTTTCCTTTGTTTTTATTCTTTCTTTCTTTTCTCTTTGTGTCTGATTTCCTTCTTTTCTTTCTTTTTTTTTTCCTTTTTTCGACACGTCCGTACAACAAGAAGGACACAGAAAGGTTTTTTCTTACACGCTGCGGATTGGTCGTTAAAATGTTTCTATCAAAATGGACCAATGTCTCTCGTTAGGCCATTTCTCACTGGAAATCGATATCGAAATCTTACTTTGACCATGATTGGGCTGCGACGCGAACTCGAAAGAAATCGCCCGGGCTCGTGGAACCCGACAAGCATGTGTACGTTGTCAGATATTTTATTTATACAACAACAATGATTTCGTTAGAAGACTTTCACTCTGTTAATTTTTGCGAATTTGACTGTGTATCACACGAAAAAATAAACAATTAGAAGTAGAAGTAGCCTGGACCGTACGATGGGGGTAGTGTTTCCTCGGTGACCTTGAGCGATCGGTTCGATCTTCTTCCGATCGCATTTCCCCTCGGACAACCCCTCACCACCCTCGGAGCACGTTTTCAAAGAGGAGAGAGAGGAATCCGTGATCCGCTCCGTTGCCGGTCGCAGGGACATCTTTGCGCGACATATCTCGGACGAGAAAGCACCTGTCCATCGAAGACCGGAGTCGCGAAACGATTGTTTCCGATCAAGATTTTAACGGGCCGGGTCTCACCATTTATCCCGCGACATCTTAGTTCCCGTCCAGCGAAACGTGCGCGGCAAAAAGTCACGCGGGACCAGTTTAACGAGTCGAATGATAAACGCTATATTTAGAAACTCGACGTAGAACTTTCAGCTTATGCAAGCCACCGATCGACTCCGGGGTGTTTCAAGTAAATCGTGCTCGTTCCCCATGCGCGTCTCGAACAGTTTATCGCGTTCGTCGTGGAAAATGACACGGAAAAAAACGGGATAGCGACGTCCTCGTGGCCAAGAAATCCGCGGAATTCGTCGGTCGTGGAGCGCCGTCCTCTTCGGCTCGCGTCTACAATGACGCCGCCATATTGGTTTTTTCAGATCTCGTCAACCCCTTAACCGCGGAGAAGCTTTCGGAACGGACGACGTTTCGCAAACTTACAATTTCCCGCCTTTCGATCCGTCACTCGTCGAGGGATGCAACAATTTTAGGATTCATTTTAATTCGTTACGAACGACCGATCGAAATTTCGATCACCCAGCGGCCAGAATAAATGATCAAGTCACTGCACCAGGTCTAGTAAAATGGATCAATGTTAATTTCGGAGACGTAGATTCTTTAAAATACGTGAATCTAGCTATGGGTGCTGCGAAATCGTTGGAAGCGTCTGCCTAAACGGGTCTAGAACACTTCAATTTGTAATCGAAGACTGACGCAGGAACCAAACAACTAAAGGTATTCAAAGCGACGCTTTGGCAAGTACTATTTTACTAAAAATAGTGTTTTACTAAATATACTGTTACTAAACATACTCCGAAAATTATGGTACTTCCGGGAAATGAGAGGTTCCTCGGGTGATTCGAAGCAACTTTTTCCTCAGCGAAAATACGATCCGCGGCTTCGTTCACGAGTTATTAACGAAAAACACTAACCAATGAGAGATCGCGTACGGCTGACGCCCCGTCCTCGCGATCGCGAGGGCCAGCCAAGCCTGCGTCGGTGCTGCTGCGTTGGACGAGCGGCGCGCGCCGCAGTGACAGAGCGCCGGCCGAGCTCGCGCTCCGATTGGTCGGTGTTTTTCCTGAATAACTCGTCAACGACGCGTCGGAGGAAATTTTTGTAAAGGACAAAGTTACTTCAAATGACCCGAGGAATCCCTCATTTCCCGGAGGTACCATAATTTTGAGACATTCTGTATAGCACATATATAATATAATACTATTTTACGAAAAATAGTTACTAAAAGAACTGTGTCCAGTTTCCTGCAGCAAGGTCTTCGCGTACATTGGTATCTGGACCTGCGTCGATCTATTCTTCCGGCGAAAAAATAAGAAGATCGAGATTCCTATCCGAGTGACTCATTGCAGATGTCGCAAGAGGATCGCGCGGTTTCTTTTTATCGCGGTGAATCGAGCGTGAAATCGATCGAGATTGCTCTGCGCGGACGTTGACGAGTCTCCACGGGCAAGGGGTTAAACGGTATCATCTCGAGTCGATGGAACGATGATCGACGACGACGACGACGACGGCGACGTCAGTCCTGCTTCTTCCCGTCGTCCTCGACGAGACACTTCTTGAAGTGTTTCGAGCAAAACGGGTACAACGTCGGATGGTCGCAGGTCCGGCAAGCGGCCGCAAGATGCGAACAGCAGCGCAGGCTTTCGCGGCAGCACGAGGCCCACAATTCGGGGCCGGCCGCGGCGCAATTGTAGCAGTAACAGTCGCCTGGAAAAGAAGAGCAAAACCAACAGGTGAAACGCGAGCGCTTGTTCATCGCGATCGATCCTTTCGTCATGCCTGGTATGCACGCGGCACCGGGAATGTACCGCGCGGTTCACAAGTTCCGCGCGCGAAATCGACGCGCGGCGAGGGCTCGCGCGCGGATTGCAGTAACATCGGAAAGCGCTCTAATCGTGGAAGCTTCGAACAAGCGGGATTCCAGGGGGAGGAACGGTTTATTAACCCTTAGCGCTCCACGCGTTTCTCGAGTACTACCAGCAATTTCGGCACATTTTTGGAGCAAAGCGCTCGAGATAAAGGAAGTCTCATTTCGAGCGGAAAAGATTACACGTCCTTGTGAAAGAGTTCGATTTTATTCATTTTACGTTGCTAAGTATAAAAATGGACAACAAATGTTTTAATCGTAATGGTATCTACTTAACATTGTGCGAGGTCGGTGCATCGACATCGTGAATCGTGACCGAAATTTCCAAGCAGCAAATGCATCCTCGTCGAAATGGGTAAATTTACTATCAACGATATTCTTCGCAATTCTTAAATAAATATATCCCTCGTGTTCTTTGACGCGATTTATTATAAAATTAGCGTCGCGAATCGTCCGTTGAATTCTGTTTGGATACGAAATTATCGAAACAAAAATATCTTTTGCACGATTTTGCCGGAATTTTTTTATCGTTAATCTTCGCTGGAATCGGCTCGATTAATAATTAAATTAAATTAAAAATTAGTAAATATTCTTCGGACGTTCTAAAATAAAGTTGAACAGCGTTTTTCTGAAAAATATCACTACCAGCAACTCCGGCACATTTTTGGAGCAAAGGCGCCCGAGATAAAGGAAGCCTCATTTCGAGCGGAAAAGATTACACGTTCTTGTGAAAGTGTTCGATTTTATTCATTTTACGTTGCTAAGTATAAAAATATGCAAAAAATGTTTTAATCGTAATGGTACACGCGCTAAGCACGTTTTCGCTACAAATAACAATTGCCAACGTCGACAAAAACACAGCATCTTCGGTGTAATCATGCTAAAAAGACATTGGGCTCCGCAGCAGAGCCTTCGGATTTACGGAACAAACGACGGATGTCTCCGTAGCGGAGCCAACGGAGCGCTAAGGGTTAAATCGCGGCTTTGGAAACGTTCGCCGTCGGAATAAAATCGAAGGAAAAAAACGACAGATGTTCGCTCCGCGGCGCGGCGCGTTCGTTCGACAGCCTCCGGAGATCTTTCTCCTCGGATATTATTAATCAGCGAGATTCCGTTACCAGCGCACGCTTGCATCACTGACAGGACACTTGACTCCTTCGCGTTAAACAAGCGCGACGCGCGAACGGAGAAGAGAAAGAGCAGCGCCGTATCGCGTGTCACGTACGCCGCACGTGCGGATCTTTTTTTTTCCAGCGGAGCAACTGGTCTAGAATCGAGTTGATATTTTCGAAGCGAAGGTGGAACGATTTTCTCCGGCAACGGTTCTGGTCCGCTATCAGATGCTATTTTGCATCGGAACTGGATCACTTTTGCCGTGCCGCACGCTCGCGAGGAACGCGCCGATTCGATTTTTCCAGAAGGACAATTCAATCTTCGCTTCTCTTCGCTGCAGAACTTTGTCTTTCTGCTTCGCGAGGAAGCTCTCCGCTGGAAACTGCAAGCTCGAACGAGCCGCCGGTTATCCAAAATGGCGTCGACGAAACCGGTGAACGCTGTCGCGCCTCATAACCGATTTAGATTTGTCGTCGAACGATCGAGGAAATTAGGAGAAACGAGCCGCGTAATCAAGTAATCATTGCGTCACGCGCGATAATTGCATGTTTCTGCAAGATTGCGGGCAGCTCGTGCTTGTTGACAACTCGGACCCGGCCGTCTTTCCTGGTCGCCTTGACTGGTGAAAGCAGGGGCGCCGGACCCGATACAAATGACTTCCAACGGATTTCAAGAAGCTACGATTTTTGCCACGGAAACGGCGCTTCGTTTCAGCAGATTTCTGCGGAATTAGTGAAACTACGGTGGAACGGCGGTTCTTCTTGATTGTGAGACGCCTCCTCAAGGTTGTTCCAGTTTCGAAACGGCTCGAATAAAAACGTGCGTCGGTTCTCGGTTAGAACCGTATTTTAGCAACTTTCGGTGGAAAGTACGATCTAAACTCGCCTCTCGATCCCGATTCGACACGGTGAAAGTATGTTACGAGAGTAATGTCAAAATCGTTAAGAGGTCAATATTAATTTCGCGCGCTCCACGGGGAGAGAAAAGTAGAAGTAAAAGCGACCCGCGTCGCGTCGCAGCGAATCGCCGCGGCGAAGGATAAATTACGCCGGACAGAGAGAGATCTATTACCCGATCGAGATTCCATTCCGGCTTAAGGTGCGTCTAATTGAGAGATTAATATTCCGACACGCTGGCATGCGCTTCTAACGGCACGACGGAACAATGATCGCGGGAGTGGCGTCGGGGTAATTAGCGCGACGACGAAAAATTTCACTGTTCCGCCGTTCGCGACGAAACGAAACGCGACGAAAAACAGAAAAAGGAACGCTGCAAAAGGTAAACGAAACTGTATGCTCGGAAGATTATGTTCCAGATTATGCTTGAAAAAGGAGAACACGTTACAACCCGAGGCTCTGTAACTGATATCGATGAGAGAAGGCTATCAGCATCCGCGTTCCCGGCTTGATTAACCTTTTAGGTACGGCTGAATTCTGCGCGAGGCTATTTCTTTGGACGACAGAGTCTGATGTGTACTGTACAGAGTCTGATACTATATATACAGGGTGTCCCAAAAATGTCTCGCAATTCGAAAGTGGCGGGTTCCTCGGGCCATTCGAAGCAACTTTTTCCTTTACAAAAATTTTCTCCGAGGCACCGTTAACGAGTTATTAACGAAAAACAGTGACCAATGAGAGGCGAGCTCGGCTGGCGCGAGACGATCGAGCCAATGAGCGGAACTAGGCTTCGCGCACTGGTTGGCTGGGCCGCCTCGCGCCAGCCGTATTCGATTCTTATTGGTCGCTGTTTTTCGTTAATAACTCGTTAACGGTGCCTCGGAGAACATTTTTGTAAAGGAAGAAGTTGCTTCAAATGATCCGAGGAACCCGCCATTTCCGGATTGCGAGACATTTTTGGGACACCCTGTAGACTGTTGTAAATCGATGCGAAGACAAAAGAAATGTGAAACAATGCATATGAAGACGATTATTTGGTTCAAACGATGAGCGAGTGAACTACTAGAGCAAGCCACTATAGTGGCGCATCGTCCAGAGAGATGACATTCGCGAAAGCCACTATAGTGGCGTGTCGTTCTGAAAGATGATATCCGCGGAAGCCACTATAGTGGCGCGTCGTGCCTAAAAGGTTAAATAATTAATCGTCCGACGCAATTATAATTCGAACTTGTCACAGATTTTCGGATTGACGGATAATAACGAAATAATTTTGTCGTTCGCGTTGCGTTTCGTTGCCGGATTATTAGATCGTTGGAGTGGATTGTATAACACTTGTTAGACTATCGGTTCCTAAATAATAGAATGCGAATAATGGAATGATGTAAGAAAGCACAGCAAATTCTCCCTAATTGGGGAAAAGAGGAGATTCGATTGTTTAAGTCTTGAGTCTCGTTAAGGCTCGTTCGAACTAACAAAGTCAATTTATCGGTAAGCCTATCGAGCTTAAAAAACAACTGGTGCGTGCTGCTTCGTAAAGATTACAACACTGTATTTATTTAGTCCGTTCAGCATTTTGATCGCACCGTATGCTCGCGTTGAGTAATTTATTCGATCATTTTCTGTGAAAAAGTCTTTACTAATTTCAGCATCTTTAGAACAGTATTAAGTAGAATTTAAAATAATTCATTTCGTCAGAGTCTGACTTTTCATCAGAATCGGATGTCTTGTTAAAAATAAATTCGGCTTAAAAATGATCTGAAACTTTTCAAAAACTTAAAAAATATTGTACAAATTATGAGAATATTGTTTCAAGTCGCTTCTAGTTTAGAATAACTTCTTTAATATCAAAAATCGGTGAGATCGATTCTCAGCCATGTGCAATAAATTCTCTCAAATTGTCCATTTTTGTGCACGATCTGAGCGTCAATTAGAGAGAATTTACTGTGTGTGTAATTGTAGTTGTACAGTGGGAAAGTTAATGTCATCCTAAGTCCAATAGGCAATGATTAAATAAACAATAATAACAGTTAATTATAATTCGAACGAAAAAATATATATATAAATAATATTATATTATATATTATTATATTATAATTATATTATACTATTATATTATAATTATCTTAAGGATGAGACTTTAACCTTATATAATTATATATATAATTATATATAGAATGACTTTAACCTTTCAACTGTACAATTACAACTACACATACAGTAAATTCTATTTTCTATAATTTCAGTAAATAAATAAATAAATATATATATATAAATAATATTATATTATATTATAATTATATTATATTATTATATTATAATTATATTACAATTATATTATATTATTATATTATAATTATCTNTATTATATATTATTATATTATAATTATATTATACTATTATATTATAATTATCTTAAGGATGAGACTTTAACCTTATATAATTATATATATAATTATACATAGAATGACTTTAACCTTTCAACTGTACAATTACAATTACACATACAGTAAATTCTATTTTCTATAATTTCAGTAAATAAATAAATAAACATATATATATATATAAATAATATTATATTATATTATAATATAATATTTTAGCGTTATCGTAGGTTCACGAAAGGTCAAACTCGCCGGACTACAGCCGCATCTCCGCGCGCGTATAGATCGCGCATCTCTGCAGCGTTAGCGCTCCGATTGCTGCCGTTATGGAAAAGCAACACTTTCCGCGGCGAACAATAGGGAATCTAACCTTGACATAGCCACTCCCAGACATTGTTTGCCCACACACACGTTAAATGCACGCGGCACGAACGGCGGCGCGAGAGTGCC